GTTTTTGGGGTGGGGGTGTATAAAGAGGGCTCAAACAAGATTAGGTTGGAAGTTAGGGTGAAACTTTTGGCATCGGGAACGGATCACTTGGTTGATAGAACGAATGATGAAGTCGTTGTGGATAGGAAGGTTAGTGATTTAATAAGGAGCTTTTACGACAGAACCCTACAGTTCCACTCCGTATGTCCAAAGTGGTCGCAGTAAAATCAAAATAAGGTTAGTTTAGTTTTGGCGAACAAGACAGATTTTGGACCTAGAAGTCTTCGTAGCTGTCTAAGACTTTTTTTGAATTGTTGTCTCTTAAGGTGTCTACGTAATTTACTTGAATGGTAGATAGTATTTCTTTGTTACTGTTGAACAGTAGAGAGCAAAATTATTGTTTCAATGTGAACGTACACTGAGTACATTTTTCTTCATTTAGTCTTGTCCTACCCTTTTTGCCCCAGTCTTCGATAACCTCAAGGAGTTCTTGGATATGGGACTTCCTTGGATAGGATTCGAGTTAGAGGACAAATGTGTGGTGTGTAGTGGCCGTTAGTAGGTTTTTAACATCCTACATTTATATAATTTAAAAGATGTTTATAAATCTCAGGCCCTGAAGATGATCTCAATAAAGATCGAAACGTTGGCACGATAAAGAAAATGTTTTTCTAAAACCTACGTCACACCAGACCGCATCTCACGATCACCAAATAATCATTAGAGGACAAAATTGCCAAATTTATTCATTGGTATTTTAGCGCATATCTTGTATGTTTGCTTTCCATCTAGACCCTTAAAGAATCTTAATCTCTTTTATGGCCTTGAATTTTTCTGCATTGAAAGCTGTACTTAGCTCTCTAGTATAGATGACGTCTGCGTAGTCTATTTTAAGTGATCTGTCATACATCATTATATTCAAGGACTTTGGCTCTCCACAGGAACCCTGTAGGCATCCGATGACTTATTCTTTGGTCACGTATATTTGAGAAATGTTTGATAAAGTTGCCAACCATAGGCAAACTAGCAGAATCAAAGGCTTCTTTTACTTCCGTAAGATCGGCAACACGGTTTCTTCAGAGCTGAGGTTTTCTTTAACAAAACAATATCTTTAACTGTAAAAACCGCGATGTATATCCATATATAGCCTAAAGAGCATTACCATAAATAAATAAGCCTTCAGAGCGTATGAAAACCATAAAAGGCCATACATGACCTTATAGGATCATCTCCAATATCTTGAGGCGTTCAAGTCCCCCCTCCAATGCTGCAATTGGAGAGGGCCAAACTCAGAGGAGTGGTAGGTCTACTAACCGATCACTGGCATCTGAGAAAACATCTACACAACATGAGTACAGCGATGATCCCATTTGCAGATTATGTAATGAGGAGGAGGAAACAGCCACTCATATCATCTTCGTATGCGAAGCAACAGCTCAATGGAGATTTAACCTAACGTACGGAAAAAAACTTAGGGAATCAAATTGCAGCAGCGACAGTCAATGACCTGATACTTCTAAGGAGAAGGATTGAGTCTATTGCACTGAACTAAGGAACTAGGAAGGTAGAATAAGCCAGAAGGCTGCAGTGCCTGGGGAGTGCAAACGCAGCTTCCTAGTATCCTTCTTCACCATACCATACCATACCATACCCCCCCTCCAAACGGATTGGTACTCGGTACATGCTTCATAATATGACAGACCGTATTCCAAATATTACTGATTCCAAGTGCTGCACTGATTTTATCGTCCTCCAGGTCATCTCCACTCTTTCACCGCGGTGTGGATTGTGAAGAGCCACTTTTGTCTCAAAGGCGAATAAGATTTTTTCCACTATTGTTATCTCTTTGCAAAAGTTGCTTTGTTGTTGTGTGGTGAGGAGCCTTTTACGGACCTTTTCATCTAAGGTTTGACTGTATCAATCTTCTAACAATCAAGTCAAAGTTTGATATCCCCCGAATTCCAGCGGTAATTTTTTTAATGAAGGAAATTGTTGAATTCCTTGGTGATTCTGGTACGCCTTGAATTTGTCGTCTCGAGTAACTCTCAGTCTCACTGGACCCTCAAATTTGGCTAATAATAAATGCCAAGGCGATGGAGTGCAATTCTCCTCCATGATGGAGAACCATGATTCTGATCGATTAATCGCGGCTTGAAAGACTATTTAGGACAAAAAACTATCAGAGTAAAGAAATTAGACAAACATTGCTACTTCAGGTAAAAAAAAGGTAAAAACCGACAGAAAGGAACAAGAAATGTTTATAATCAAGAAAAATGTCGACCCTTTTTGGTAAACAGTGATTAATATTATTATTAATTAAATGATAAGATTAATCTTCTGCCTCTAACAACAAATAACAACAAATTATAGTATAAGTAACAAATATAAGTAACAAATATTAATATAAGTAACAAATTATATGACTATAATTAAAAACAAAACGTGGGTTAAGGTCACAAACTAAAAACTATCAGGGTGTATAGAATATATAAAGTAATTCCCGTCTTAAAGGAGGGCTTAACGTCCAAGTGCCCGTTGGGTGTCTCAGACGAGGGTTCAGAACCACATTGGAATATGTGGTGCAATTAATCTCAAATAAAATTCCAAATGTTATGCCGGGATTCGAACCCAGAACTGCTACCGTGGCGATTACTTAGTCGGAAGCTCTAACTACTCGGCCACCGCGGTACCACTACTAGTGTATAATAAATTTAGGCCGTTTTGGTCCATCAGGATCGTTGGCGCAGTACACGATATTGAGATTTTAGTTTGGTTTATGGCAAAAAGCGTATTTTATAAAATTAGGCCAGAAAGATAATAGAATGGGACTTTGTACTTATAAAAAAAATGGCAGCCAACAGATTTTAATATATTTTGGATACTCCGGCAAATAAAATCATTAAAAAAACAATAAAATAATAATTAGAAAAGGCAAAAAGATTTATTGCTCAAGGTTTATATTAATGCCCAACCTTGATAGGTGATTAAATTCACTAGATTTCGTGGTCCGCTTGACCAATTAATATCATTCAATTAATTAATTAAAATGGCAAAAAGGAGGGAATATTCAAAAGGCGGGGTTGAGATAGGAAGTTAGTGCCCGAGTGGATGGAAGTCACGATAGCTCAAGTGGCAGAGTAGCGGCGTATCGAGCCGAAGGTCGTGGGTTCGAATCCCGCTCGTGCCATTGACTTTTTTATCTCAACTAAAAACCTTAATTAATTAAACTTCATAGGTGAGTTGTATGTTCCTTTTTGCAATCGTGTTCACCCAATGGATCGGATTAGATTATGGCTAGAGAGGAGGTTAGTTTAGACTCAAATATTCCTAAATGACTTTATTTTCTATAAATTCTACTCTTTCGTAGGAAGTTTGCATGTTTTTGAATTTCAGTCGTGACTTCTCATAAGCTGTGTTTATTTAATAATTTATCACAAATTCATATTCCTTCTGTTGGATGTTTTGACGGGAAAACGAAGCATGATGTACGTGTTGATCTGGTTTATGGTATAAAATGCCTTGTAAAACAAAGTACAGAATGATAGGGATAAGGATAAATGAGGTGGCCACAAGGCCTTGCTCCTCACCCTGTATAGATCTACTGTGCTCCTATATTTTTATAATTTTCTGGTTATCTTGAGGTTGTTAGTGAACCTCCGTAGATAGCTCGCTTTAAGGTTCTTATTTGCAGCTTTTCCGCTTCTAGTTATCTGCACCTACATAGCCTCACAAAAAATATACTGTATTCTGCGATCTCTTAATCCTTGCAGTATCTGCACAGTGTTTCTTCTCTCAATACTCTTATCCGGTGCATGTGCCCACTCAGGCGGCAGAGCCCGACAGAAGTGCAACCAAAATCGAAGTACTGTTGCGGTTACCTTCCAGTAATTACTTGATAAGTTTTTAGGATGGCCCTTCTATGAAGTTCTTCACGTGCCTCATGCAAGGGGACTTGTTCTACCAGGTCGGAGCCTAGAGAATTCATACTGGCTTCTTTTTTTTGGCCAACATGTCTACTTTCTCATTACCTCAATGTCCCTTATTTCCATGAACCCATGCCAGGTCATTGGTGTTACTGACTTAGGTCTTAAGTACCGCCTGACTATCAGAGAAGAGGCCATCTTTCTAGAATGTGTTCCTAATCTTTTTATCTCTTTGGCGCAGTGTTCTATGGCTATGATTTCAGGCTGAAAAACTGCACCATATTTATCCATGTTTAAAGTCAGTTCAGACTTCGAATTCACCCCGAGGACTCCTGCTCCGCCTCTATCTGTTTTTGAGCTGTATGCCATAAGGAATTGGCCTTCAGAGGCAATCCTTTGGTCTACATGTCGCTTTCTCGTATAAGTAACTTCGTTGGAAAAGTTGTATCTTGGATTAGTGGCATCGATTGGCATGCCTAGTATGGCACCCGCCAGCCCAGAATGATAGTTAAACAAAAATGTATCTTTCAGTTCCGCCAAAGCGCATAAGTTTATTATGTCATCTGACAAAAAGTATTACCTAGTAAAGATATGTGTGAATGTTCACTGTATTTGGTGAAAGTTCTGACATAAAACCAGCGAGATCAAGAGTACCAGGTTCATCGGAAACTAATAAAACCTAACGAATCTTTTAATTGCTAAATAACTATTATTTCCTATAAAAACCTTTAATTAATTTCCAAATGTTATATTTTTTTTTAATCAATAGTAATATTTGTGACGGCCTCGTTCCGGATTATTTGAACTGGATAGTTACGCTATTTATCTCGTTATCAGGTCTTCAATTGGCTGTCCTCAATAGGTTGAGGCCGTTTGATGCAATGTTAACAACCTCTGACAGACCGTTTTTAAAAGAAATGCTTTCTTGTAAAAGTCAAACCTTGGCAATATGATTTTACTAATTTACTTTTTGGACAGTAGAAGTCACATTTGGGTAGGGTTAAAGTGACCGCTTTATTGCCAGAGTTTCTGTGATTGTATGATGGTGTTGATTTAAGTATGTTTTTTAATAGATTTTATGTATTGTGATCGTTTCAGGAAAATGAGCGGCCACGGATGCACGGTGGACTCTTCGCTCCCGGAGACGTTTCTGCACGAGAGGATCCTCTTCTCCAACCCCCAGTCGGACCTGATGGAGTACAACCAGCCTCAGGCGCCGGTACGAGACAGCTTGATAGATTTTTACAAAGACGAGGTCGCCCACTGTTCCGGCTTCGTTTGGAAAACGCCCGATGTGCAGCCCAAGAAGAAATCGTCCTCTCTCAAATCTGCCATATCGACCGGTGGCGGGGGGGAAAAGAAGATAGTCCGGTTCGCCGACGTCCTCGGCCTCGACCTCACCGACGTGCACACCTTTCTAGACGAGATACCCAAAATTCCGAAATCTGCGTTCAAAGATTTAAAAAACGTGGACGTCGCTCCGGCCAGCTCTCCCAAACCCGAGAAGACCCTGGTGTCCTTATTTCCCCAACCGGCCTCTCAGAATCAGTTCACGGAGAAGCTCGCTTACAACAAAGTCTGCCTGGAAAACGCCTTCATCACCAACACCATCTCTTTGAACGTGAGAGGCACTATCAGAGTTGTCAACGTGCACTTCGAGAAGAAGGTAACAGTTCGATACTCCACGGACAAGTGGAAAACCTTCGTGGACACCATCTCACAGTACTTGGAAGGATCTTCGGATGGGTTTTCCGATAGGTTTTCGTTCACGCTGCCCGCCTCGGACATGAGCGTCGGACAGAGGATGGAGTTCGCGATCAAATACAACGTCTTGGATACCGAGTACTGGGATAACAACTCCGGGATCAACTACGTCTTCCAGTGTATGCCCGACTCGCCACCTAAGCTCACCTCCTCCCACATCCCATCCACTACCGCTCTCGAAAACTGGGGATTTTTCTACTAGCAAAAACACTTTCTAGTCTATGTAAATAAGGAATAAACTCTCTAGGAGGTTTAATCAATATATATTTAGGTTATTTTTTTATAATATTTTGAAGTTTAAAATTTTTTAAAAAGAATTGTATTTATAGATTCGTTATTGTTGTTAAATTTTATCTTTTTTTCTATTGAGACTGATTTTTTTTTGTTATAAATAATAGACTGTTGTTAGAAGAAGTACAGTTATATCGATTGTTTAGTTAGGCAAAGCGGTAAAAGAAACGAAAACAAGCAAAAACACTCAAGTGGTAAGACTGTGCGCTTAATATTTTTACAAAACAAAAACTGTAAAGGTTTTTCTAACCTCCAAAAGAAAAACACTTAAACTACAAAACTACAATTTTAGATATATTATTACATTGTAAATTTCTATTTTTAAATTAATTCGGTTTTTAAATTTCATAAAATGTACAGGGAAATAACATTAACAAATGTTCTGTTGTAAATATAAAATAATTATATTTCTCCTACATAATATTAACTTTGATGTAAAGTGAAAAATAATTAAAATTTAAAGTAGATGTTACAAAAAGATTTGATGGTGTCTTCCACTGAGGGTAATTATTGTAGTTTTTGTATTTGTTTGCAGTACCTGACCATTTAAATGTAATTATACAGTCGACTCTCGATAACTCGAACCTTAATAACTCTAATTTTTTCAAATCCCCATCGTTTTCCTATAGTGTTTCTACACATTTTTACCTCTATAAGTCGAACATGTTGAAATGGCAACCTATATTAGACGAATTTTCATTGTAAGCACATGCGACCAGCGCCATTTCTTTATCTAATGGGCTCTAGCCCGCTCTCTCAACAGTCCTGCACGTACACCAGATTCTTCATTTGTATGAAAAAAAAATGAAAAGTATGACGTTAAACGTGAAGGAGAAAGGCGCTACTTGAAGAAAAGACATCGTCAAAAAAGTCGGCATACCGCCAAACACCTTATCCACAATTTAAAAAAATAGGGTTAAGTATGACGCAGCGAGTTGATTAGCCGGTTCAATACCTCCAACCTCGATTAATCGAAAAACTCGATAACTCGAATTTGTATTTTCCCCCAAGATTCAAGTTATATATAAATAAATAAAAACACTTTTGAATAAAAATATTATTTAAAACTGGTCTTATTAGACCAACCATTAATTTTACAATTTTACATTGGTACAATAAGATTTACATTTCACTATTCACTATTCATTTTTACTACACAATTTCATAAGGCTTTGTTCTTTTTAGTCTTCTGACTATGTTTCTGTTATGTAAGAGTTTGGTCGCTTCCACATTCTCGTGCTGGCTGAGGCGAGCCTGGTGTTTGGCGGCAAATCTTTGTATTTACGCCGTGACTTCAGGGATCTTAAGATCCCTGTGTAAGTCCTTATGTACCAAGGTGCATTGACCATGTTACGTAAGATTTTATTTTGGAGTGTTTGTATGATTTTGATATTGCTGTGTTTGGTACAACCCCATAGTTGAATACCATATGTCCACATAGGCTTTATGACTTGTTTATATAATAATATTTTATTTTGTATAGCAAGATTGGAGCCACGTCCTATCAACCAGTATAGTTGTCTATACCTTAAACCTATTTCTGTCCTTTTTTTCTTCACGTGTTCTTTCCATCTCAGCTTGGCATCTAAGGTCATTCCCAGATATTTAGCTGTATTGCTGTATGGTATAGTAGTTCCATCGATTGTGAGCGACGGAACATGGTCCACCTTTTTGTTTGTAAAGATTAGATGAACTGATTTATGCTGATTTAGCTTGATTTTTCATTTTTTTGTCCATTCGTTTATCTTATTACATGCATTTTGGAGGATTATGGTTGAGTGGGTGACAGTCGGTCCTAGTGATATCACCGCTGTGTCATCTGCAAACGTTGCAATTTTTAATCCATCTATTTCCGGAAAATCACTGGTGTATAATAAGAAAAGCAGTGGACCTAATATGCTACCTTGTGGCACTCCTGCATTTATTGTTTTTAATTTTGAATATTGATCTTCTTGTTTGACTCTAAACAGTCTGTCAGTTAGGTAGGAACTGATAATATCGACATACTGCTTGGTAGCACACCTTTTAGTTTATTGATGAGTCCTTCGTACCAGACTTTGTCAAAACTTGTGAAGATAGCAGAACAAATTTGTTTTTCTTAAAGAGATTTTTCTATTACGTCCGTTACTCGGTGAATTTGATCTATTGTTGAATGTCTTGTTCGGAATCCAAATTGGTGGTCAGGAATTTTCTTTTTTTCCACGATGTGCTTTATTCGTTTTAATAATAATTTTTCGAAGAGTTTAGACACTGTTGGTAGTAGCGATATTGGTCTAAGATTTGACCTCGTTCGCCGGTTTTCCTATTTTTCTTATCATAATGACTTCTGCGAATTTTCAGATGCTGGGAACATATTTCAGTCTGATTGCAGCATTAAATAGGTATGTTAGTTTAACTATATCCTTTTTTGGCAATTGCTTTAGTATTTCTCCAGTGATAAGGTCATATCCTGGAGTCTTTTTAGCAGGTAAATTTTTAATTTCTTGTGCTACTTCTTTAGATGAAACTAGCTTTATATTTTTTTCTTGTGGTGTGGTTGTTACTTCAAGTAAGTAACAACAAACACCTTATCCACAATTTAAAAAAATAGGGTTATGATGCAGCGAGAGGATTATACCTAGGATACCTAGAACCTCAATTAGTCGAAAAACTCGATAAATCGAATTTGTATTTTCCCCCAAGATTCAAGTTATATATAAATAAATAAAAACTGTATAGGAACCCTTTTGACTTTTGAATAAAAATGAATTTTTTTTAATAAATTGAAAGTAAATTTACTATGCATTAATATACCAACTGATTTGACAGTTAACCTGCCGCCAGAGTGATGGTGGGATGTAGACGTGTATACAGGGTGTCCTTTTTAGACTGGCCGGCTGAATTTTTCTTGAAATATTTTTTAAAGTAGTTTCAAATTTTTACCTTTTTTGGAGGAAAATTACGCAGAGTACCACAGGCGCAGTTCAACTACAAAATTTCAAATAAGTACCTCTACATACCCTAAACATCTTGACACATCATTTTAAAGGAATTTTTACCCGGAAAATAATGGTGCAATCGAATTTTAAATTGGTAAAAAAATGATAAAGATATGGCAAAAAGTTTGATAAAAAAAAATTGGTTTGCTGTTTACAATCACATTTCATGTTCGAACTGCTTGTCTTAGTAAAGATTATTCATTATTCACCGGTGCCCGAGTCAGGGGCCATGGATTAACAAGCATTTTCTATCCTTGTCGACTGCTTCAACTAACGTTGCTGCGTTATGATTGGCGACATTGGTTTTAAAATGACCCAACAGAAAATAGTTCAGTGGGTTTAAATCGGGTGACCGTGGAGGCCAAAAGATCGGGCAATACGGCCATATCCACCTATCCCGGTATAAGACGTCGCACTTGCAAAAAATTATATGCTGGACATCCATCAAGCTGGAGAATCATCCTTTGTCGTTGTTGCAGAGGAATATCATTAAATAGGTAAAACCTCTCTCAAAAAATTGAGGAACTGAGCATAATTTAAATGATTTTCGTAGAAAAAAGGCTCAATTAATTTATTTCCGGAAATCCCCACCAAACGTTGATACAGTGAACCAACTGATGATGACAAGAGAAAAGTTCCTTTGGCGTTCCATACATCCTACGGACTGATGAATCCAAGTTCACCTCTAATGGAGGTATAAACCGTAAATCTTGTCACATCCGGGATTGGTGGATAGGACTTCATGGCCCGATGTTTGGTCTCCTCGGCCACCTGATTTAACTCCACTTAACTATTTTTTGTTGGGTCATTTAAAAACCAATGTCGCCAAACATAACACCAAGCTCAGTTGAAGCACTAAGACAAAGGATAGAAAATGTCAATCTGACTATCACTCTGAGCACTAGTGAAGAGTGGTTCAAAAGAGCAAATCTTCGATCTTTACGCAAAGCAGGCAGTTCGAACATGAAATGTAATTAATATTGTAAACAGCAAACCAAATCTGTTTTTTCGTCAAACTTTTTGCCATATTCGGAAATCGTGAGATGCGGTCTGGTATGATGTAGGTTTCAGAAAAACATTTTCTTTATCTTGTCCACGTTTCGACCTTTATTGAGTCATCTTCAGGGCCTGGGATTTACAAACATTGTTTAATGGCCGTTAGTTAATGATTATTTGGAGATCGTGAGATGCGGTCTGGTGTGACGTAGTTTTTTTCACATCCTACATGTATTTGTTAAATTTAAACTATGTTTGTAAATCCCAGGCCCTGAAGATGGTCTCAATAAAGATCGAAACGTTGGCACGATAAAGGAAATGTTTTTCTGAAACCTACATCACACCAGACCGCATCTCACGATTTCCGAATAATCATCGACTAACGGTCACTAATCACCACACATTTTTGCCATAACTTTGCCATTTTTTGACCAATTTAAAATCTGATTGCACCATTGTTTTCACCGTAAAAATCCTTTAAAATTATGTGTCAGGATGTATAAGGTCGTATTTGAAATTTTGAAGTTGTACTGGGCCTCTTGTACCCTGTCTAATTTTTCTCCAAAAAAGGTAAAAATTTGATACTAGACTAAAAAGTCATTATTAAACAAGTATTTCTAGTTTTTTATAGCATTATTGATTTCAGAGAAATTCAGCCGTATCATCTTAAAAGGCCATTCTGTATATTTATTTTCCCTTAATGCGCAAACTTCATAGATGGTCTGTGTGTTAATTTTATTAAATCGTTCCTTTCCTAAGTTCTATGTAAGATTACCAGGGATATAACTCTTGATAGCCGGTTAAATCGTCTTTTAAAAACGGAGGCCAGAATGATAAATAAAAACATTTTTTTGATCATTGTCACTCTTTCATCTGTTTTCTGCGTGCTATTGTTATCAATTGTAAGGAGTTGTGTAAATACACTCGAAGACTAAAAAGCCCTGAAACTCGTATTTGATTGTTTATTTTAACACAGATTGTCCAATTTAACGCGCCACTCAATTTATTTATTTTAAAATTAAATCCGTTATCTTTATTCGTTTGTTACAGGCAACTGGGAGCTATCATAGTCAAAATAAACAGTAACTAAATAATGCTTTGCTTCATTACTTTGTTTATTTTGTACTGATTAATTCATTTGTACTTTAGTGACTGGGAGTTTTGT